GCGCAATTGGAGCCCAGGGTTTGTGAGGAAACCTGGATGAAGTCTATTCCTTGGAAATCATGATCACAAGGCCTTTCCAAAGAGGGCCTTCTGCTACAGGGACGTCTCACCCTCGTTTTAGACAGTCCATTTATTGAGGAAGAGCAAGTGCGATCTGGTGATTTTGCATTAGCATCCTCCAAAACAGAGACCAACCCAAGTGAGATGCGGTACCCGCGGCCAGGATGTTCGTGAATACACCGCACTGAACTCAGCCCGTTTACTGCATGCTGGTGTAGAAAAATGGGTCTCCTTTGTTTGCACTCCTCCAATCCCGTAACTTTAAACAGATCTTGTGTTTCATGTTCAAAGCAATTTGGTTGGTAGTGTGATTGTGGCTTATTCTTATTCTTATTCTTGTTTAAATCTCACTTGTTTCGCTCGCCTCTTGAGTTAATGATAGGATAGCCCAGTTGACAGTTTGTTTCAGAAATAACTGGCGAGAAGGATGAACATGTTGCCGATTTCGGCAAGGAGCTCAAGGCCCTTGTCAATATGAAAAACACGAGATACACTATCAGATAGTTAATTTTTCAGGTTTCACTGGAGGAAGAGTCCCCGATCTATTTGCTCGGGGAGAGCGGTGGACTACACCGAGTGGACTACACCGAGTGGTCGACCGAGGCCATGGCACATGCGGAAGCCAACAATCACTTCAAGCTGATGGATCGCTTGGCCAGGGGACTGCAGTGGTGTGAGTGGATGATGTGGGGCTTGACCAGCTGGGATGATGGGAATTGAGAGGCTGAAAGAGGGCTGAAAGAGATTTGGAGATTGTAGATGATGTTGATGGACAGCCGATGAGAAGCCCTAAGCACCAACGCATTGGAACATATTGCTTAGAAAGAGTATCGGACAAGCAAACAATTCTTGTGCACGGCTACTGTGTGCCATTCACCTAGGACTAAGGCATGTCAGTTATGGTAGAATCTGCTTTTGTGGCTATTTCCCACCCTTCCAATACCAGAAGGAACATTGAATGCTCAGGGCAGGACGGTGTGACCAGACCTTTTTGTGTTTTTCTCCAGTCTTGGCTCACCTCCACTGGCGAAGATTCGAAGACTCGAAGGACAGGACAACGAATGACCATGAGTCTTGCAGGGGAGGAACTTGTGGATGTGGATGTGACGAATCAACGGATGACAGATGACTCAGATTACAGAATCTTGACACCTTTCTCGTTCGGCCTAGTAGGCTATAGGTCTCTCCTCGGCTCCGTTTCGAAAAGGGCAATTTTTTGACGGATCTGCACCGACGGGATTTGCGTCCAGGTCGCACTGGGCGCCAAGGGCCACGGATTGCACCATAGCGCCTTGGAGGAGACCGATTCACATGGGAGATCGATTCTGTAAGGTGATGGGTAGAAGAAGGTTGATGGGGGGGGTTCTTGAAGCTCTATTTGATTCTATTTGGATGCAAGATTTTGCGAAAACAAAGCCGTAGCTTGTCGTGAATGACAAGCCGCCCACTCCGAGCAATTTGAGTTTGCCTTGAGGGCAAGCCAAGGGCCATGGTGTCATTTATCCTTTTCCCCTGCTAGGGTTTGGGGGCTCGAATTTTTCTTGAGACACATGATTCACATCAGGTGGATGTGTTTTAGAGCAACCAACCCCAAAGCCTACAAGTCGCGCCGGGACTTGTCCACCACCCTTGGTCCCTGGCCAGGGCGGCCTCCTGGAATCTCCCCAACAAACCGGGCCGAAGGTGTTTTTTTACCACTTTCACCGGTTTCACCGTCCGAGGCAGTGACCTGGCAAAGTGGTGAACCCAGTGAAGGAAGTGGAAGAGTGCAGGGGGGGGGAAGAAGTCATAGTCTGTGCTCAACGTTGAATGCTGCGTGCTGTCTTGCATGCATATATATATATATAATATTTATATATATATATATCGATATGGACCATGGACCAAAGCCTGTGAGGACGCATGTGACCAACACTTGTGGATTGCTGAAGGTTTCAATTTGCCGCAGCAAGAAGGTCAGATGGGGATGTATGGGGTTGTTTGTTGGGGGCTAATTGTTGGGGATGTATGGGGTTGTACTTGGAAGTGAACCTTGGAAGTAGATGGAACCATGGATGCACACACTCTCCACACCCCAGTTGTTGTGTTAAGGATGCCAGTTGGAAAAGCTTTTGACCCTTGGAAGAAGGGAACCAAGCTGTGAACCCTTATTTCACCGGCAAGCTGGACTGACATGTTCGAGAGGATCAAGCTCTTTCCTTTTCGCTCCTTTGTTTGGACAGCCATCCCCTGTGTGGATTCAGTGTGGATCGGTCCCACATGAACAAATCCCGATCAGTCCTCCTGCTGGTGTTTGGAAGCTTCTCAACATCATGATACAATATGTACTGTCCTTAATCACTGATGGTCTGCTTATTCTCCATCGTCCTTGTATCTTAGATGACACTGTCCACTCCTATCGGGGTGACCACCCCCCTGACGTTGTGAGGTCCAAGTCGACCACCAGCATGGGTGGCAACACCACCGTGGCCGTGTCTGCGGGGATGCTGAAGAGCCACTCGGTCCCGAGCCAACGCTGTTCGGACAGGGGAGGCGACGCCTCACGCTGAAGAGACCCGGGCTCCATCCGCGGGAAGCAAATGGACCCTTGTGGCCGGGGGTAGGACCGGGGGAGGTTTCCCTCCTTTAATACAAACCCAAATGGATGTGTCCGTCCTTTTAGTGACAGATAGTGACAGCCTGTGGACACTGGACCTACCTGGACCTGACGACATGGGACCTGTCTGTCTCAACGACCGAACGCGCCCAGGCACCTCGCTCGGTCGGATCGGCAAGGCGCCGGGGGGGGGGCACAGGCAACCCGATGCCAATCACAGGCAACCTCCAAGGGCACTTTGGACCTTGATGGACTGTTTGGGGGCCAGGGAAGAGCGTGAATTAAAAGGTCAAGGAGGGAGGAGGGAAGGAATTTGAACTCTGCCCTCTCACCACTATTGCGTTCCCTGAAAGAGACACCCAACACCCTTTGGTGGTTGGTTATCACCACTGAACGAGAGCCGATTGATGACGAAGACGGAAAGCGCGGCTGTACTTTTGGGTGTTTTCTTTCGACCCACGCACTTTGGACACTCACACATTTTGTCTTTTTCGTAGCGGAAGTGGCTCCTTTGGTGAAGGCGAGCAGGAGGCGACCTGTGGTTTTCCTTCATGAAAAGGCAGTCTTGAGCCGAAGAAGGGGCTTGGTTGGGAGGTCCAACTGAGACCCAGTTGAGTCAACTGGTACCCGAGTCCTAAGTGGGCCATCCATTTCACCGACGGTTGGAGGTGCCTCATTTCGTCGAGATTTGCTCGAACACCTGGAGAGGTGGTGGTCAATGGAATGCCGGGCCCCATCGTCCCCACCATGGTGAAAGTGGACAACCCGAAGGGCCGCTGAGAGATGAACATCGCAGCCAAAAGAGATATTAAGAAATTATCAAGAAATAGCCTCTTTCGAGATGAGCATGGATGAGCAAGCAGTCTTGGGTATGAACTCTTTCGATCTCTTTCGTGTGACCAGGGTATACTGAGGAAACCCTTCTGTTTCGTTCGGTTTCCACTGTTTTACAGAGGCTCCGAAGTGCGATTTCCGCGATGCTTTCTAGCCGGCTTCGACTGAATGGATGGCAAGAAGCTGAAAAACGGAAGATCGAATCAGGTTGAAGGATTGGACTGCCGAATCACGCGCCATCTATCAGTGCCTGTACCTTTTGAGACGAAACAGCAGTGCTTTGAATATCTCTGAACATGCTTTAGCTTCAGCTCCTTGGTTACGGATGCGAAAGATGTGAGGGGTCACAGGATCAAACAGAAGCCTCAGACTCGTCTCGTCTCGTTGTAGCAGCGATCTCCAGCGAACACAGGTTCAATGGAGAGGCTGTAGGCCTCGCCTCCCGTGCTGCACGGTAGAGGCGATAGAATTCATTGGCAAGACCCGTAGGCTCCGTCCTCAAAGGCGTGCCGGTGTTGGTGGAAGAAATTCCAACCTAAAGAGCGATTAGCAAAAGGAACCCAATAGCGATGGCCTCCAACCTACTAGCGATGGTCTCCAACTGGGCGCGGGTTTAGAGTGAATCAAAGAGCTTGTGGAAACCTTCACGACCTCCAGTATGGTACAGCTTTCCTCGCACGCTGAGAGGCGCCTAACGGGGCGAGGCGGAACATTCGCCCTCGCCCTGCCGTAGCTCGGTCCTCGTGCGAGGGAGAACTCGAGAGGGAATGAGGTCAAGGACCTCAAAAGAGGCAGAGTGTTATATGAGGTTCATTTTTTCCTTTAGAACTTTATGGGGAACTTCCGTATAGTGAAAAGATGTTGGACAATGCTCTTGGGTTGAGCCTGGCAAGGAGCCAAACCGGAGTGGGAAATGGACACAAGCAGGATGTCTTGGGTTTGGTGCCTCCTGCTGCTCGCCATAGGAATCACTGGTCAATGGAGGTGCTGTTCGTTTTATGGTCCAGATGCTTCTCAGTTCCCTCCTCGCAGAGGGGTCTGCTCCACTGAGACAGCAGTAGTAGATGAACCTCACAAGAGATATAGGTGCCTACGACTGTGAAAAGGAGACAGCCATGTTGTCTGAGATGGTGTGGATTCCTTATGGACATTTACCAAGCCAGGGATGTGCTCAACATTCTTACTTGGACTGCGAATTTATTTCTGAGCCAAAGGCAAGCTCCAGCATCGGCTCAGAGCCAATTAGCGAAGCGCCGATTGGTCTTGTATATTTGCCGGGGGCCACCCGAGCCCGAAAATGCCGATCGTTCCCCCCCCACTTGTGGAAGCGAGGAAACGTGCTCATCAGCTGCTAAATGTCATCGAGGGACCTACTCGTAGAAAGACAGAGGACATGATTTGTCGACACTTCATGCACACTACTCGATGATTTGGATCCATCTCAAGAAACCCCGTTGTTTGGAAGATGAGGCTTGAAATCATGACTCGCGTTGAGGAGATTTACAGTGCGATGAAGGGTGCCGAAGGATATCCCGCCTTGGTGGTGCAGATGATTGGACCGGGCTCCTCAGATCGGTTTTGAGTGGTCTGGTGTAAAAAAAGGATGAACCGATGATGTGAACACCTTTTAGCCTTTTCTCCGTAACTGGGCTAGAAACGCTTGAGGGGAAATGACAGATTTGAACACATGTGAATCACTGTGAAAATCCTAAGATCGTCTCTTCTTGGAGCACTTCAGTAGTGTCAGTTGTGGCCTCTGACAGCAGTGCAGAAGCCCTTCACCTCATTCAGGTGAGAACCTTGCCAACTGCTGCTGCCTCAGCGGGAGATGGGGAGATGGTGGGAGTGTCCCCTAAGGGCCGAAAGGGTGTCCCACCTGAATGGCCCTAAGTTCTGGACAAAGAGGGTTGAACCTCACGGATCTACCGTATGTGCTTTTCAGTAGATCAATATTGTTTGTACATACATATATATATATAGCAATGTTATTTATTTCATTATCCTATTATTCATATTGTTAATACTATAGATCCTTGTATCGCCACCTTGCAGCACAACTCTGTTGAGTCATAGGCCCCAAACGCGCGGCGACCGTTCTCGCGCTCCGAGGCCTTGGGGACTTCAAGGAAGAGCGGCACGAGTTCCAGGCCGCGCGGCCGAGAACGCGGACGCGGCCAATTCGCGTCGGTGGGAGGATCCACGAACAGTGTGGAAAATGGGTGAGCAGAGGTTGTTTGAGAATGGTTCGATGGACAGTTTGAAACTCAAGCAACTTTGTGTTTTTTTTCATGACATGAGGGTCATTGGCTTGCCAGAGACAAACATGGACATGCTGTTAGAACCAGTTAGATAAAGGATCATATTGTAACCAAAAAAAAGACAGACTGATATCTGATAGACCAATGCATTTGGGCACCTCAACTCCTCACTCGCCTGTGGAAAAGACACAGGGACCCTCTAAATTTCCAGTCATCCACTCCTTCATTGACTTGGGGTGGTCTTTCTCCCTATACTCTTTCTGCGTCTTTAACCACACCACACACGTTCCACCGCCCAGGCCAAGGTCGCAGGCATGGCGCAGGAAGTCTTGGCGTCCATTAAGGCCGCATGCAGGGTGAAGCGCTGCGTCTTTACTATTTTTTACATCATGGCATGTGGTGAGGTAAACAAGGCGAGCCCACCTCGGGAAACGGAGGACAACATGTTTGGGGTTCCCATGTTGATTCATTTCCACCTTCACATCCGGGTGTGTGACCCCTGCCCACGCTGCCCACGCTGAGTCTCCAGGCGAAGTTCGAGGCGGACATCGCGAAGGCCGAGGAGACGCTCGCCAAAGCGGACGCCGAGAAGGCGACGCGTGAGGCCTCGGGATGGGTTGGACCGGGCGGGCGGAAGCAGGTGAGGGTCTCAGGGTCAGAACATTTTAATCTACATATTTTGGATCATTTTTGTATAATAATATATATATATATACAATAATTATATATATATAGTATAGTATTTTTCCTCAGGCAGCCTGCAAAATGTTGCCACAGCTGCTTTCTAGAGAAAACTCAAGGATGGGACGGGAGTCCTCACACAGGTGGCTAGAGTTGACACATTTTGACATACGGTTGAGGTGGGTGCAATGTTGTGCTCCTGAGACGACCCAGACAGTGGATGCTCTTTCTTTAGCAGATTTGCAGGTAAAGCATCTCAACCTGTTCAAAGATGCTGCGGTGTTTTGTGAGGCGTCGAACCAGCTGCGATCACTTGTGCTTTTGGCATCTACAAACCCCGGTCCCGGGATTGAGCTCTGCAACTTGCTCCCTCCGCAGCATTTGCCAGGCCGCCGTCGAGGAGACCACGTGGTATCAGCGGTTTGCTGGTGAACAAATCGCCGTTTGTTTTTGAACTTTGAGAACTCAACCAAACTGACAGGCACTGACAAGCACTCACAAGCTATTAGAAACAATAAGCTACTATAGGAACAAGTGCATCGCTTCTAGTAACAAGTGCCTTACTAGTAGTA